TAGCCATTCAGGTGTTTATTCTCTAACACACAAAGGAGCTACACCAAATCTCACATTTTGTGATTGCAATGCCACCCTCGCCCAACTGCCCCAACACGGAGGAAAAGGTCTCAGGTTTTCAAATCCAGTGCTGGGTATTTGCTGTACCAGCTAAATTCCTGGACACTTGACCGAGTAAGGCCCTGATCCTGCAAGGAGAGCTATGCAGGTGGACCCCTGACCTTAAGGTACGAAAGAAAAAAAAAATAGCTTCCCTCCACTAGTGGATACTAGACAAACCAGGCAGGAGGTCTGTGGCTGACTAATTTCCCATTCCTTTCTGGGGTAGGGATGCATAGGCTGAGAAGAGTGGAGCAGTGAGGGATAAGTAATCTCTTGGCTTCCTGCAGGAAGTAGGAATGCCACATGGCTCCAAAACCTCCTTCCAGCTACAGAGCACCACCTGCCCTGTTGTTGCAAGGGACATTGCTTATTTGGTGCCTATGACACATACCCTATATGCAGAGACTTTGGGTACGTCTACACTTACTTCCTGGTTCAGCGGCGGGCAATCCATCTTCTGGGATCGATTTATCGCATCTTGTCTAGACGTGATAAATCGATCCCGGATCGATCCCGGAAGTGCTCGCCGTCGACGCCGGTACTCCAGCTTGGCGAGAGGAGTATGCGGCATCGACGGGGGAGCCTGCCTGCCGCGTCTGGACCCGCGGTAAGTTCGGACTAAGGTACTTCGAATTCAGCTACGTTATTAACGTAGCTGAATGTGTGTACCTTAGTCCGAAGTGGGGGGTTAGTGTGGACCAGGCCTAAGAAACATTTGGTAAGACAATAAGTAGGATTTCAAGCACTGATCACACAAAGAATCATATACACCTCTACCCCGACATCATGCGGTCCTCGGGAGCCAAAAAAATCTTACCGCGTTCTAGGTGAAACCGCGTTATATCGAACTTGCTTTAGCCTCGAGCATCTCCATTATTAATAGTCCCGCCCCCTATCCAACCCCCACCTACTTTCTGCCCCCTGACTAACCCCTCAGAACTCCCGGCCCATCCAACCCCCCCCATCCCTAATCACCCCCAGGACTCCCACGCTGAGCCACGTGCTGCACTGGGACGTGGCGCTAGGACTCGGGGAGCCGGTGCACAGAAGTGCTCACACCTGCTCGACCACATCAGCTGGAGCGAGCCCCGCGGGGGCGGGGCAGGGGGAACTGGCCCAGCGGCCGCTGCCCTGTCCGCAGAGTGGGCCCAGCCCGGCGGCTGAGCCTGCGAGGGGGAGCGGGGTGGGCAGCCTCACCCAAGGTGCCCACATGGGGCCGGGGAAGGGTGAGCCATCGGTGGGTGACTCCTGCTGTGCGTGCCCACGCTTAACCCATCTCTCCTCCTCCACAGAGCCCCACGCAGGCCGTCTCTGGTGAGGAGGCCACGGCCAGCTGCCCGCCGGGGCACACGGAGCCCCTGACTGCGGGCAGGTAGTGCGGCGCGCTATGGACCCGGAGAGCCCACCCGGCGCTGCTGCGAGTGGGGCACAGCCTGCCAGCCAGGCCCGCTTTGTGCTGAGCCCTCCAGTACCAGGACAGGGGCGCTGTCTAGGACGGGCACCTCTCCCTGCCCTGGATCTGCAACTTCCCCACGTGGACCAGTCTTCCCCAACTTCTTGGCGCCAGCTGGAGCCCGTGTGACGTTCCCCAGCACTGCAGCTCCCCTCCTCGGGCTGTGGCTCCCCCCTGCTCCCTGTCCCCTGACTGCCCCCTGAGGCCCTCTGCCCCTTATCCAACCCCTCGGCCCTGGCCCGGCACCCTTAATCATGCCGCTCAGAGCAGCGTGTCAGAGCCAGACACACTGACTCGCTGATCCGCCGGAGCACTGCTTTACCGTGTTATATCCGAATTAGTGTTATAGTGGGTTGCGTTATATTGGAGTAGAGATGTACCTCAGTGTAAAAGTATGATTTTATCCCATGAAGAAAACATAAGCCTTGCCATCCGTCCATCCTCCCCGCCTCCCCCCACCCCCGAGAGAGAGAGAGAGACAGAGACAGACAGACACTTTGAAAAGCAGGTAGCCATCCTACCTGGCTAGTATGTGAGAACAGCAATCCTTCCTCTCTCACACATGCACAGTCACAGAGAGAGGGGGAGAGACAGTCACAGGGAACACAAACGGAGGGAAAGACAAAAAGAGGACACAAAGAAGAGTGGGGATACAACTGGAGAGAGATACAGAGAGAAGGAAATAGGACAATTTGGGAGCTGGAGCAATCAACAGAGTCTACATGGGAGGAGAAAAACATAGGGATGCCCAATGGGAGAAGCTCTTTGCTTTTGGCAGGGGGAAATAAAGAGGAAAGAAGCCCCAAATCCCCTTAAGAACAAGAGAAAGGCTCTCTGCCATTTCTCTCCCCCCCTCCCAGGAAGATTCTGGAGGAAAGGAAACAGGATTATCATCCTCTCCTAAGAATGGGGGAGGGCATCTGCACACTGGTGAGGCTTCTGTCCACTCCAGTCTCATCTCAGTCACCCTGCAAAATGCAAATAGCTCCCAGTGAGATAGAACCTGTTGAGGAGGAGAGGCTTGGTGGGTAAAATATCTAGGTTCAATTCCCACCTCTGCCACAAACTACCCATGTGACCTGGGGAAGGCCACTTAATTTTTGTGCCACAGCTTCCCCATATATATAATGAAGATAATATTCCCCTACCTCACAGGGGTTTAGCAAAGCTTTAATTCATTAATATTTATAATGCTTTTTGAGCTCCTCAGATGGAAGGCACTGCATAAATGACAAGAATTATTAAAGACATGAATGGATTTAGGAGACAGAATAAGAAGAGTTTAATCAAGTGAATAAAGAAGGTTTATAGAATGCACCATAGTGGGGTTTCTGCTCGTGTATGAACTGGAGCACTCCCAAATGGCAGTCTGTTTCATCTCTTTACCCACCAAGCGCACACACCCAGTTTGCATTGCATTGCTAACCCTTTTTGCCACAGAAGCAGCTGTAATTAAACCAAGACTCTTCATTTATCATGGTTCACAAATAAAAAAAATAATGGAGTTGCATCTGCTTAGATAAGTAATTAATCTGGCCTATAAAGAGTTTTAAGGACAAATTCTAATTTTAAGGCAAAATGATTAATTTTGGGAGGCCAGCTTTATTTAGATACATATAACCATGTTTTCAGAAATAGCGAATAGCACTGAGTGCCCGCCTAGAGAAAACCAGGGCCTGATTTTCAGAGGTGCTGAGCCACCATAGCTCCAAGCAGTAGCTGAAATTTAGGACCTGGATCCACATTTTTCAAAGCTGATTTTGGGTGTCCAGTTTGAAACAGCTTGGGCTTGATTTTCAGGGATGTAGAGCACCAGCAGCTCCCTTTGACTGTGAATGGAGTGGCTGATACTTAGCACCTTTGAAAAAAAAAAATCAAGCTCAGTGTTGTCTTGGGAACCCAATAAATGAGACACCCACAATTAAAGGATGCTTTTCAAAACATTAAGCTGGGGCTTAATGACTGACCCAAGGCCACAGAGAAAGGCAGTGGCCAGGATGAGATTAGAATTTAGGAATTCCCGATACCTAGACCCATGCTTTGTGTACTAGAATATACTGCGTCTCAAGCAAGCATGAATTTCTGAGAGGGACAGTACAGAAAAAATGAGTTTATTTTTCCTAGTGTACCTAACCACAAATTCTCTCTCACCTAAATCTCCTTGAAGTACTCAGTGGGAGTAAAACACAAATGCTGCTACATACACGTAGTCAGTTTCTTAGAAGAGTTTGGCTTCTAGTTAAGCACCTAAATAAAGTGACCAGATTTTCAGAAGTGCTCAAGTACGCAGCAGCTGCCACTTCATTTAGGTGTTTCTATGGGAGCCAGGCTTTTATTTTTATTTATTTATTATTAAATCTGGCCTATGGTGTATGAATTTTTTCCCTTCTCCACTTGCCGGAGTGGGATACAATAGCATACTCTGGCACCCATATCTTAGAAACTCAGGCTAATACAACCAGATTTACATTCACTTTCTATATTGTGATTGGAAAGCATAATAGTGTCACCATATTACACTTCAGAAATTTAGAAGCTATTTAAGGTAACAAGAGGTAATTATAGCATCTGCTTTTGCATTTAAAAAAATATGGGCGGGCAAGAGAGGAGTGGTGATATGGAATACTCAATTCATGCTAAAATAGAAAACCTATATATTTTTTGCGATATGCATGTGCTGCTCAGCTGCCTTTCCTGTGTGTAACATCAGCACCTTGGAGCCAGTTCTGAAGTTTTTTAACTGAAAAATACCAGTTGCAATAGAAAGAGCCCAGGTAGCCTCAAGGAAGCCCAGGGAATAATGGCTAAAGAGGCATAGGCAGCCCCCTACTATTCTGGAAATAAAACAAACCCACCCACAATTCAGAGCCATTCTTTGTTCCCATGGCCACCTGATTATACACTCAAAGTCAGCCACAATGTAATTAAACACAAACAGCTACTTATGTCAGAAGTCAAAACACTGGCACTTCTTGGGGTGAATTCCAGGGGCTAGGATTTCAATCCCTGGCCTAGCCAAGCACTACTATAAGAGGAGGGCGTGAATCCGATGTATAATCTACCAGCTCTTAGCATAAAGGGGGTGGGGGTTGAAAGCAAAGAGACGCGGCGGAACTCTGGGGGAGGGATCCCCCTCCAGCCCAGCCAGGCTAAGGAGGGCAGGTTGAGCTGGCATGACTGGGTTATGGGCTGTACGAGGGAGGAGAGGGGACGCTTCTCAGGCACCTGGATCCGCTGGGTGCACTCGCCAGCCAGCCCACGGCATGTGGCCAAAGCCCCGCTTGCCGCTCCCCTTGGGAAGCCTGGACTGATGCCTTCCCCGTCCCTGCTCCGCGGGGCCAGCCCCTCGGCTGCTCAGGTGAGTGCCCAGGGGGAGGGGTCCCCCGCAGAAGCAGCGGGCGCTTCAGCGTGCACAAGGACAAGGCAGGGGAAGGGGAGCCCTTACCTTCCACAGCCATTCTCTCAGCGCTCGCCTAGTGCATGCATAATTCGCCTGCCCCAGGCACTGCTCCTCTAGCCCCCCTTCTCCCTCTCTCTCCCCCTCCAATGTTTTCTCTCTGCTCATCTGCAACCAAGACGATCAACCTGCAGCTCTCACGCTAACAAGGGGTAGCCTGCGCCCGAGGCAGCCTGGGAAATGTAGTCCCCCAGCTGTGCTCAGGCAGGGGTCCATACAGCCCCAGGTGGAAGAGCCTCGCTTCACGGTCGCACATAGTGCCCGGCCCAGAGATCAATATCGCAGGGAGGTGGGAAAGCGCGCTGCAGGTTTTGCTTTGATCAGAGAATAGACGGGGGGAGGGGAGAGAACTACAAGTCCCGAAATGCAGCAGTTCGGTCTTACCGGAGAGCTGGAGTGGGGCTGTTTGATTGAGAACTTCCTTGTCAAATTAGGGAAGGAGACAGGTACGGGCAGAAGGTGGGGGAGGAAGATTTGGATTTGTGGAAAATGCCTTGTATTGATTTGGGGGAGCCCGCCACAGCAGATTGCTTTGCAAGATCTCTGGTCACAAAGAGCATCTGTTCCCTAGGCAGTTGCTTTGCAGCTGTCAGAATGCAAAATGGTTGCATTAAATCTGACTTTAGCACTCATTTTAGCAATTGCTAATGGACAAAATAAAGTGTGAACATTTTCTCATTTGGACTGCCTTCTTGGGCTCTGTCTATCCCAAGTCCATCACCATAGTATCTAAGTTCCTTGGGGATGGGGCCTCTTTTCATATAGCACTGAGAACACAGACAATGTTAAATAAGTAAGAATGCTTTCATGCAATCTAGAAACTCTTTCCTTTCCAGTGCTGTCATATACCAATTCAATAGATGCTAGCATGGAAAAATGAACATCCTCTAATCGGCTTTATTTTGTAAAATCTGTGGGGCAAGGCCATCTTTGTACACCGGCAAAACAGTGTTGTTGCTTAATATAAAACTGGACTTAATTCTTAAAATCAAATATAGTTTTCCCCACAGGTTTGTTACTGTATACATTAATAAATGTACCTATTCCCAGGGCCCACGTCGGCGCCCTCTACAGGCTCACACACTTCTTATTTATTGCTTATTTCAAAATGTTTCAGACAATTTCACATGAGGGGTGGGATTTTTAAAAGTGCTCAGCATTGGCCTAATTCTGTTCAGAGTTAAGTCAATGGTAAAACTACCATTGACTTCAGTGGGAGCAGAGTTGGGCCAATCCTGAACACCCACCGCCCATCCTCAGATGAATAATTAAACATTCTGAAGGGGAGGAGAAAGCCTCCTTGACTCCTCACAAGAGGTGTGTAACTCTGCTTCTGTGGGTCACAATTGAGGATGCTAAATTCAGGACAAACTGCTGAGAAATAGGGCAGCCACACCCCAAAACTGGTGGCTAATCCCCCCATACCAAATCAGCAACAAAAGTAAACTTCTGTTTCATCGCACTGGCTAACAAAAAGTCATAAAAGCAGTTTCCTTGGGCATCCCAGTCCTTATATTACCACTGAAAACACAGGGTTTAAAGGTGTTTACAACTGGTTCTTTACAATCAGTCTCATAAAAGAAAAGGCTCTTCTGATCCCAAAGGACCAGTCACACACCCAGATCAGTATATAACTTAGATCTTACCCAAAAATCATGCTGATGCCAATCCTTTAGTATCTAAAATCTAAAGGTTTATTCATAAAAAGAAAGAAAGTTAAAATTGGTTAAAGGAATCAAATACATACTGTAATTGCAAAGTTCTTGGTTCAGGCTTGTAGCAGTGATGGAATAAACTGCTGGCTTAAGTCAAGTCTCTGGCTGCTTGCAAATCATTGGAAGGTCCTCAGTCCATTGGTTAGAATGTTCCCATTAGTGTAAGTTCATATTCCAGAGGTTTGAGCAGGAAAGAGGAAAAATGGAGGTGTTTCCAGGGCCCTTTATAGCTTCTGCCATGTGAAAGGAACCCCATTGTTCTTATTGTGGAAAATTACAGCAACAAGATGGAGTTTGGAGTCACATGGGCAAGTCACATGTACATGCATTTCATCTAGTCACAGCAGAAAATGCCATTAAGTATAGACAGGCATCTCCCATGGTCCATTGTCAGTTAAATGTTCTTTTGATGGGCCACTCAATTTGAATAGTCCCTCCAAGATGTGCTGGCTAACTACTTTGTGGGAGTTATCCCAGGAGCAAACATTTGAAATCCAGGTATAGAGCCAATACTCAAACGTCAAATACAAAAATGATACATGCATACAGATAGCATAATCATAACCAGCAAATCATAAGCTTTTCATAGACATCTTACATGCCACATTTTATACAAGATTTGTTGCAGATATATAGCAGTTGTTGCAACAATGATCTATATGGTCATATTTTAATCAGATAACGTCACAAGGTGTGAGCTCCATTAGCAAACTTGGGCCCTGATCCTGCAAGGAGCTGTTTATGGGCAGATCCCTGCTTTTGCACAAAGCCCTGTTGGAGTCAATGTAGGTTCATGCAGGGGTCTGCTTGCATAGAGCTCAGTGCAGGAACTGGGCCTTAAAATGTATTTTAAAATTTGGAGGATATGGTGTGATGGTTCTCAGGGTATTCAGGGCTGTGAGTCACCTTGTTACCCTCGACCTCTAGAGAGAGGTAGTCTTGCCCGTGGTAGCTGGGTGTTAGCTCCCTACCAACACCAGCCTGTCAGCCACTCAGGCACTCTCCTCTGAGCTATGCCTTCCCTGTTTTCACTTCAAAGATTAACAATAGGTGCACCTGTCCCTTTGAATTGTTCCCCTATGGTATTCAGCCACTGACACTGGCCTCTCACAGAAGCCCAAGATCCTCTGCCCCCAAAAGGACCTGTGTACCTCAGTTTACCAGTTTTACCTTAAACCACCACTGCTATGTAACACACAGCACTTATAATAAAACAGGAGAAGGTCTATTTAAGAAATAATAGATATTCCACTAGAAACAAGAGAGTGATAGAAACAAATGTTTACAATACAAAATTATAAAACATAAACTAGTGCCTGTGACGTTGTGCAGTCTATATGGTTTTATAAAAACATGATAATAAGTGAATATAATGTAACTGGGATAGTTTTATAAAAATTTGATAAGTGACTATAATGCAAATGGGATATGCTTCGTGCAAAAGGTCTCTTGTAAGGTATCATTACAAAGCTTATAATCTACCGAGTATGATCATCTGATTTGTATAAATGTACCACTCTTGTATCTAAAACTAGAAATATAAAACATAACTCTGAGGGCCTATTGTAATTATGTAAAGTGTGGGCCATTAATGATGGTTTAGAATCTTGATGACTCCCATTAACAAGGACCATTGTCTGCAGATGACTGTGTTTACCTGTGAGTCTTCCTGTATATGTGTGTGCTGGCAAGTGAGTAATGAAGTCTTGCAGTGACATGTGATCATGTCACCTGAACTGGAATCCATCTTTAACCTGGTGCTTTTCCAGTGAGGGGGGGTGAAAACCCAGAGGGACAAAGAGTTCCCGCCTTATGCAAAAGATATATAAAGGGGTGGAAGAGAACAGAGAGGGAGAGGAGCCATCATGGAGAAGCCCCTAGCTAACACCTAAGCTGGAACAAGAGCTATACCAGGGGAAAGAATTGTGCCCAGGCCTGGAAGGTGTCCAGTCTGAGAAAAACTTACTGAAGCATCTCTGAGGGTGAGATTATCTGTATTTAGTTTGATTAGGCATAGATTTGTGCATTTTATTTTATTTTGCTTGTGACTTACTTTGTTCTGTCTGTTACTACTTTGAACCACTTAAATCCTACTGTCTGTATTTAATAAAATCACTTTTTATTTAGTAACTTACTCAGAGTATGTATTAATACCTGGGGGAGCAAACAACTGTGCATATCTCTCTATCAGTGTTATAGAGGGCGAACAATTTATGAGTTTGCCCTGCATAAGTTTTATGCAGGGTAAAACGGATTTATCTGGGTTTAGACCCCATTGGGAGTTGGGCATCTGAGTGCTAAAGACAAGCACACTCCTGTGAGCTGTTTTTGGGTAAACTTGCAGCTTGGGGACAAGTGATTCAGACCCTGAGTCTGTGTCTGGAGCCAGACTGGAGTGTCTCGCTCAGCAAGACGGGGTGCTGGAGTCCTGAGCTAGCAGGGAAAACAGAAGCAGGGGTAGTCTTGGCACATCAGGTGGCAGCTCCCAAGGGGGTTTCTGTGATCCAACCCGTCACAGTGCCTATACTTATTAATTGTTACCTTTCCTATCTAACAAACTAGGTTTTCATCCCAAACTTCAGTCTGTTGCAGAGCTGGCTGACTTCATAGGGACCAGAATCCAAACTTTATGAAAGACACCCTTGAGCCACAAGATGGTTCCTCAGTGAATGGATACAGAGTACTTCTCCTCACTCTGTGTTATACTGAAACAGACTTTCATCTCTATTCATAGACAAAGTAAACACCTGTCTGTTGTAATGTTCCTTTTTTACCTCCAAGTGGTTTCAATTGTTTGCAGTTGTCTCTGATGGTTTTCCTCTGATAGTCTTGGGATGGCGCAAGACTAGGCAATTCACTTGACTGAGTCATCACCGAGACTTATTATTTCCTGGTGAATAACTTTTACATCCAAGACCATAAAGCATACTTTCAACATAGTTACATTATTCCTTAAATATTACCTGTACATATATCTCATGATAATGACACTTGATAAGTGAAGAACTTTCTGTAGATACCTTATATGTTAGATAAATATAGATAAATACCTTGCAAGTTATGTGTTTGGTGGGTTCAAAAAAGAACTAGATAAATTCATGGAGGATAGGTCCATCAATGGCTATTACTCAGGATGGGCAGGGAAGGTGTCCCTAGCCTCTGTTTGCCAGGGGCTGGGAATGGATCACTTGATGATTACCTGTTATGATTACCTGTTCTGTTCATTCCCTCTGGGGCACCTGCATTGTGGCCACTGTCGGAAGACAGCATACTGGGCTAGATGGAACTTTGGTCTGACCCAGTATGGCTGTTCTTATGTGTAGTGAGTTTGTCAGGTCTGAGATGAGAGT